TAGCCGGAGTTAAACCACAGCAGTGGGTATTTGGGGTCAAACCTGCAGAAATACTAACTGTAGCCATCGTCTGTCCTTTACATTAAACTCTTTCTCTCTTTTTTTTTCTTGCTTCCTCCCCTACCTCGTCCTCCTCCTCTTCCAGCAATGTGGACACCAAGGAGCTGTGCGGTGAGTGAGGTCCCTCTCTTGGGGCAAAAGCAATCATTCCGTGCACATGTGCTTTTGAAGGATGCATGAAATTAATTTCAAAGCTGATGGTGCTATGATGGCTGCTGAGCTGGGGGGGTCTCAGCACCTATGCTGTTTCGCCTCATATTCCACAGGAAAATCAGCCAAACTTTTCTTCATTTTCTTGCAATGCAAACGGGGTCGAAGCTGAGTGGAGCACCTGGCTCCCGTTCAATAACAAGCTAGAGTTTAATTTCTGGCAATGTCGTGGCTTCCAGCTCCACTCTGAAGTTCAATAAACCAACATCCCTCTGCAATACCCATAATGTGTTTCTCCTTAGGCAAGCCTTCGTGTTTCCCAGCAGGCTGCCTAAGGTGTACAACACCTTTGCTGCACCTCCCACGGCTTGCGGAAATTAAAGGCTGAAAAGAAAAGCTCTGATAACGTTTTGTCCCAGACGTTGACCAGAAAGGGAATATTTCCTGATGGGATTTCTGAAGGGCTTTGCCTCGGTGGGGAGGTGACCTGTGCATGGCACTCCTGCTGTTCGCTTGGGTATATTTTTCCATGGACGCTTGGTATTGGGAAACATTTCTTGTGCCCCATTTTTTTTGAGGAGATGGGGAGACAGAGGTATGTGCCTTGCGGAGGGCTTATCTGTCTCTTCTCCCCTCCTGTGCCGGGATGCAGAATAACATGTAAAGCCACCTCGGCAGGTCTTCACCATTTACCTTCAGCACTTTGCCACTAATTAGAGCTTTCGGAAGTCTGGGTGAGAGCGGGTTGTGCAGCCAGAAAGGTTCTTGCTGGGGTGCCTGTGCCAGTACCAGGCACTTACTTGTTATTCCTGATATTTTTAAGACCTTTCCACCCATCACAGCCTGTGGGTCTGCCTGCACCAGGGTTTCTCTCCTCTCCTGGTCCTTAACCCCTGCCCACACCCTGTCTTCCTTGCCACAGCACACCCCAGGATTTTGACCATTCAGGCCTGCAGCGAAGGCTTTTTGTTGGTTAACCCCATTTTTTGTTCCTTTGATATGCAAAAAAAAATGAAGCCTTTCATAAAACGCTTTTGGTTTGCTGATGATGGGCTCCCATCACTCCTTTCTCATTGCATTAGATCTCCTTGCCAGCTGCCCCAAGAAACCAAAACCCCACGGCTTGTACCATCAGTTTTGCCAGGAAATACAGGGTAGTAAAGTCGTTGCTTGACCCCACCCTGCTTTCTCCATCAGTCTGATAAAATCAGAAAATCACAGGGCTGTCACCCAGCATGATCCTACCTTGCTGCATCTCCTGGGAGGTGAAGCTGCCAGGAGAGGAGGGAGATAAACCCACCACCTCCCATGGGAAGCTGGAGGAAGGATTGATAAGTGTGAGATCCTGCTACTATCCATTATCTGCTGAATACCTGCCCTTGTCTGCAATTTCTTATTTGCTTGCTATTCTTCTTGGTTTAAATGTAAAACCTCATTTTGACTAAATGGTAGCTGTGGTCTCTCTCTGAAATGGGCTGCATGTTTTAAGACGTCGAGAGCATCTTAAAAGGGATTTCTTGAGCCCTGCAGCTTATATGAGAAACTTGATGTGGTTTACTCCCTGTCACGTAGTATCTTAGAAACTTGTGGGTATTTTTCCTGCCAACAAACGCAGCAATCACTAGCGCCTAGTCTGACTTAAAGATGGTTGTGTAGCTCTTTACCCATAGAGGAGTTCCCAGTCATAGCTGGGAGCAATTAAAACCCTCAGAAAATGCAAGTATATCTACCAAATTGTACCTGCCACCTCTCCATTTAATGAAAACACAAGCATTTTGTGCAGCAGTACAAACTGTCCAGCGAACTGAGGTGTGTTCTCCAACCAGGAGACACACATCGACCTGTTGCAGACTAACAGGGTGGTGGGTGAAGGCTTTGCTGAGGAGAGATGAGTGGGGAGGCACCCACCTCCTCCCACACCACCTCTGGTTTGCTGTGATGCTCACTAATCCCGTTGCTCTCTGCAGATGAGTAGGAGCCATGAGCAAGGACCATGTAGGATAGGAAAAGCTAATGTTCATGTGACTAAATAAGGCTAAAACAGTGAATGCTTTGGTTAAGTCAACACTGTTCTCCTCCCAGCTGCTTCTTGGTCCATCTCGGGGGCTGTGCTCTGCCCTCAGGAGCTCATTTCTCCTGAAATACATGAGCCCAGCTTTTTATTTCAGGACTTCCTGAAAGTCTTGACCTTTAAGATCTGCTCTTTTTTTTTTCTTTCCCACGTAAAGAGGTAAGAATATCACAAATAAACATGCTGCAGTGAGAATAAGCTGTTTGGCTTATTGTGGAACAGCAAACAGCTGCTGTCAATCATGCTGTGACATTCCAGTTTCTGCCAAAATCTTCTTCCCCTTGGATATGTTCTCGGCTGCAAATAGCTATAGGCACTTCTAATTAAGCCAAGAGAACCTAATTAGTGGGATTGTTTCCTGGAGTTTGTCTTGTTGCATTCCACAGAGATGTCACCTCAGTGTGAAGCTTCGTGTCTTAGTGATAAGGAACAGTGCTGGTTGCTTTTAAGGAACAGCTTTTAGCTGTAGTCTGTGTCAATCACCCAGAAACCGGGTAACTTCACATCTACACTGCAAACTCACTGCGTGCCTTGCCGCCACGCTTCTCACTGTTTCTGTTGCGAACAGTGACTTCCTGAACTCCATAGCTCATGCACGAAACGTGCTTTTGGGCCCATTCTCTTCCTTTCAAGACATATTTTTGCTCCCTATACAGCAAAGTACAGAAGCCTGTACAACCTGTGATTGTGGACTGAGGTGCAAATGCTGGAAAGATGTAAGGCCAGTCTCAGTCTATATAAATCGGGGTGAACGTGGCAGGTATTTGGATGCTTTGCATGGTAAAGACTGTCAAGGGAATGGAAAGCCTATTTCTTTGAGACTTGTCCCTCCATGCTGGCAGTAGGAGGGGGAGAGCCAAGCTATGGCCAAGTGCAGAAGTGGACATGGAAATAAAGCACCTGCAAAGTTATTTTCAATGGGAGCTACTGGGCCTTACATCTCTTTTTTCACAATGGTCCCAAACTTCATGGGCATTGTAGCACTTCTCATCCCTACAGGACAGATTGCAACTTTGGATTAGGAGATAGAATATAAAAATATACCTGAAACCACCCTCTCAGGTTTTTCTTTCCACCAACAAGCAGACCTTGCTGTGTCGTATAACCTTGAAGTGTTAACTTACAGCAACAGTTCCCATCACGTCCCTCTTGCTGTTTTCCCAGATTATTTTGCTGACCATATGGGAGACTACGAAGACGTCTTGGCCTCGCTGGAGACACTGAACCTCTCCATCTTGAAGGCGATGGACTATACCAAACGGGTGAGTCCTCCTTCCTGTGCCTTGTGCTCCGCAGGCTCAGAGCAAACGATGCAAACGTTAAGTTAACAGAGCATCTAGGTCTGGAAGTCTTCATCCTGTTCAGCAGTGTTGTCGCCTTGTGCTGTTGTATTTGTGTGATAAGTGGATTATTGCAGCAACATGATGACAGTGGGGGGGGTTTTGTGTTAACAGCAGATGAATTTTGAAAATCTTTGCTGGGTTGTCAACCAAAGTGCTAATGTCACGTGCAGTAGATGGTGGCATGGAGGCTTTGTGGTAGAGCATCATACCTTCTCAGCACCCTTCCCAAGTCTGACAGGCAGTCTTGGTTGTGCCATGGCTTCTGCTCTGTGTTGCTTGAAGCATGAAGTTGTTCCAGTTGTCTTCAGACAACATGGCCTGTGGGTCTCTTGGGCAGGATTTTGAACGTTCTTGTTAGTATCACTGGGAGTGCTTTTGGATACTTCGTATTATAGTGCTGGAGTCAAATACAGCTTCCCTGTTGGAAGGCATCCTGAGTTCCAGAAATGTGGTTGCTCACTGGGGAGCTGCTGAGTTGGAAATAAGAGGACTGTGTGTTTGAAGGGCAACAGGGGAATCATGCAAGCACCAAACACGAGACATAATATCCTATTTTATATGTGCTAGCACCGTTAGCTTCTTAAAAAATCCACCATGTACCTTAATGATACTGTTAATAATGGACTGCTAGACAGTGGCACTGATCAAGAAGCATACTGAAGTTTGTTTTCGAATACCTAGAAAATCTGAGCTGATGTGCCAGTTAAACATCCCCCAACCTTTCATTTGGTGTCTTACTAGAAGAAGAAAATTTTTTAGAGCTCTTGTTCCTTTGAAACCATTTTCCTGTGCTTTCCATACCACTTAATAAAGTAACTGGGCTGTATTGGTGATATTTATTACCTCAGGATAATCAATCCTTCTCCCACTTCTACCTTTACTGTATTTGCATCATTCTTTTGTGCCACAATGAGGGAAAAATAGCCTTCCTTTTCACTGGTGAGCAGTAATGTCATGCATTCAGGACCAAGCCAAGAATGGACGTTTTTCTTTTTCCAAGCACCTGTAAAGTCTTCCCAAATTCAACTCCAGCCCCCCTCTGAGTAATCCAAATTAAAATCTCCCTTCTGTTTATCTTTGAAGCTAAATGAGAAACTCAAATTACTCCACATTAAAGATGTGGTAATGATAAGAAGTTTTAGAAGTTAGAATGGGAAACACCAAATTTCTCTTCTGCTGTTTGCCGAGTAAAGAGCCCAATTTCCTTGCTGGATCAAAATCCATCCTTTTTAATGTTTGTGAGGAGAGCAGCTTGGAAAGTGAAGCCACATGTTTCACATGTTGATGTCTTGCCATAATAAGCTAAAGGCAAAAGTCTTTGGCCAAGCACTGATCTGTCTGAAGTGTTTGTGAATAGTTCATTTTTTCTAATTAAGTTGCTGAGTCTGTTCATGCTTCATCTATATTCATTATTAGAAAATTTTCTAGCAGTCAGATTTGCCAACTGTGATTTTAAATACATGTTAACATGCTAATAGATCTCAGTAATTCACTCCAACTTGCTATTCTTGGTGCCTTCCACCATTGCTTTTTGAATGTGAGGTTAATATAGATGGCTAATTCCTCCCAGTATTTTGCAAGAGGAAAATGGCCTGTTCCCTGTTTATAAATTAGGCATCTGAGCATGTGGGTATTACCTTGCCTAAGAAATCTGTAGCAGAAGCAGGATGGTTATTCATAATCCCAATCGGTGCCTTCTTGCTCCTAGATTCAGCAAGTTGTGGCAGGATTCACCTGCCTTAATTGCAGTGGGTGGAGGTTATTTACCTAAACCTGAGCCGGTCACCTCCATCACGATCTTGTGTAGGGGAAGATCCAGAGTGCTGGAGGCGTCTTCCTCCTGTGACGCTGAAGGATCACAACACTCTTCATCTCAAATGGAAACATTTCCCTTCTATATGGCTAAAGCCGGATGAGGGTGTCCCTCCCCAGCAGCCCCTCATCACCCCCATTTTATCAGCCCATGGGGTGTGTTGCTCTTTGCTGCCTAGCAGGCTTTTGGCAAGTGAGCAAGACTCCTTCACAGAGAGGAGCTGGCAAAGAAGTATTTCCTGAAAAACATCGCTCCGTGCTGTGATTTTTTGAACAAAGTGGTACAAACCTCATCAATGAATTATTCAAACACAGGTACTTTGTACAAGTGAAGAATTGAGGGAGGAGGAGGAAACAAAACCAAAACAAAAAAACGAACAGAAAACAAGGTGTTGTAGGTGGTAGAGAAACTCATCTCCAGTGTTCTGACAGGGCAGACTTCAGGCAGCCTCAGAAGTTTTTCCTGAGTGCAAACCATTAGTGCTTTTTTTGAGATGTGAGATTTTTTAAAAAAAAAGGTATTTGCTTACTAGACTTCTTGGTTTTAGTGTCAGGATTGCCAAGAGTGTCAGAGAAAGGCTTCTTACCATCCAAACAGATAAAATGGTCTGGCTAAGGTCTTCCCACCAGTTTCCAGCTGATGTGTGTTCCCATACCCATCCCAGGCTGGAGGATGTCTCAGGGGTGTTTTATTTCCTCCAGGCCTGGGACCACACTTGCAGGATAAGGCTTCAGCCCGGGGGAGAAGATCCTTCCCAGGACTGCAAAAGTGGGTGTGAGCTCCATCTGATGGGTGCCCCCGTAAAGGTGCTCTCCTGCTCCACCTCCTCCGTATGTCATGCTGTAACCAAAGGCCCTGCGCTGGTGCCAGGATGTTAAGGAAACATGTACATATAAATATATTCTTTGAAACTTTGGGTCAGGGAAAAGACTGCCGTAGCAGTAGGTTTTGGTAGGAGCCAAGTGTGGTTTTGTGCCGCTGGATGCTTGAGCATCCTGTTGCTGTCCCTGCAGCTTTTCCCCAAGGCCAGATCCCACAAAGGGCTTGGTGCTGATGCTGGGCACCATGACTTGCAAGCAAAGTGCTTTGCTTGTGAGATGCTCCTGCTTCTCCATATTAAAACAAGCATTTCAGCAGCTGGAAAAAACTATTGATCATTTCAGAGTGTTCCTTATTCCCTCCCTCTCCCCTCTGTTAACAAAAATAGTTAGTGCAAATGATACATGAAGCCTAACCTTCCTCTGTGTTGGCTTTCTGATGAGAGGTGCCTGCTGACGAGAGGAGCTGGATAGCTGTGATATTTAATTGCTGTTTATGTTTCTCACCTTAAAAGACAACTGATTATTTCTTGCTCATAAAAAGAGAAAGCAGCAATTATCTCGTGCTGGAGGAGCTCATAAAGTATCAGCAGTAATTAGATTCAATAGTGGAAGGTCTCATACAGCAAAACAAAATCTGTCATTGTAATTATTTTCCAATACGGTGATGTCCATGCCACGTTGAAATGACTGCCAATGCTGACGGGAAATGCAAACTTAAGTTGGAGAGGAAGGAAATGAACTTTCAGGATCTAAAAAGAGCTGACAGCAGGACATGTTCTTATAGAATTCCCATATACTGTTTTATAGCACAGTCAGCAAATATCAAAACCAATGTGACGGGGAAGGACACTGTTTGTGTGTCTGGCATCAAGGGGTGTGTGGGCTCCAGCAGGAGCTGGGGGACTGGAGCCAGGTAGATGCCGTCCCTCCTGTTCAGTTACTGACCTCCTACCTCAGGCTGCCCACTGTGGGATGGTGCCCACCCAATGCCTTCACCATCCCTGCCAGCCGCGAGGAGTGTGGGCATGGGGGAGCGGGAGACGGTGCCTGGGGAGCCAGAGAGATGTCAGAGGGAGCCATTGAACAATGCCCTCATGCCAAAACCCCAGTAAATGTGCTTTAACTTGGTAAAAATCCCATATTTTGTGTTTTTTTGAACACGAGAGGCTCCATTAGCCCCGTTCCTGCTGGGTACAGCTTCCACCGCCTGCCGCACTGGGGTTGCTCCTACTCCCTGCTTTTGCCGAATAAGCATTTTGCAGCCTGAGCATGCAAAACTTTAAAAGCAAGCTTCAAAGACATCCCAAAAATGCTGGGTGAGGAATGCTGTCATTGACGAAGCAGGTCAGATTTAAGGTCAAATTCAAATTCTCCCATTGGGCACTAGATGAGTCCAAGAAGTGCTGGTGACTGTCCTTGGCATGTGCCCGGTCCCAGCTGGAAGAGGAGTGCTCAGAAAGAAAAACTACCCAAAATCGGAGCTGAAATGGCAACCACACCCCATGCACATACTGGAATGAGATGGAGCTGATCTCTCTGGTGCTCAGGAACACGGTGGAGGGAAAGGCTACACCGCTCTGCCTTGGCGAGGGCAAGGAATGGGGTAAGCAGAGCAGGGGGGCAGTGCTAACAAATTAGGGGAATTTGGAGGTGAGCTTCCTGAGGGAGAGGCAGCAGGAGGGATTTATGGATCAGGCCTGAGGACCTGCAGGTGGCCCTGGATGATCTTCTGCTTGATGTTCAGCACCACCTTCAGTCCTGGAGAGGAGCAAAAGCAAACGTGAAAGACAGTGTTTTACTCCCTGCTTGCTTGCTGCCAGTCTGTCACTTGCCAAAATCCTTTTTGTCTCATTTAATGGACCTGGAGTGGAAATATGACCAATCACACCCCCTGAGAGCCTTCCCATGTCAGGGTGCCAAATACCACACACGTGTCTTGGACAGGCACTGTACCCAAACCAGCTGCAAACACATTTTCCCCTGAGAATCATTATTTAGATGAGAGAATATGTAAATCATAAAGGGAAAACTGAATGTACTGACCTTCAATACCAGCTGCTGCAGCTCTAGCAGCACTGGGAAGCTCAGAGGTATATACATATGGGCAAATAGGTTTGCATAAGTTATTTGTGAGTTAAATTGTTCCTGCTACAATTCATCCTTCTTGTCTCTGCCTTACGATGTCATCACAGAGAACAGGAGATGCCGGGTTCCTGGGTCTTGGTGGGAGCTGCTGCAGCAGACATCCTCTCCCCACTGCTGGTGCTGGCGTGGCCGTGGGTCTG